TGGCGACCAACCCTGCTACAGCAACCTGCTAGTTTTTGTTTGGACACCATTTTGTTTTCATAAAGTAAAGGCTTTTTTTTTTTTCCCCCTCAACATTTTTTTCCAACAATCTGCTAGCCGAATTACACTTATGCTATTATGCTAGAACTTTTATGAAACAAATGTGCTTAATGATGACGAAGATTAAGTGCGAAATTGGGAGAAAGTCAGAATCGCAAACTGCTTGCCGCGTTTTTAAGAATTGCACATATACAGGATCCATGTACACGTTGACTTATTTTCACTTAAAAAAACATCCCAGAATTGCACAAAAATGGCATTGCGCACACTCTTGACTTTATCCATATATACTGCTAAAGTCCTAGCTAGTAACCTTTATCGCCTTACCAAAATGTTGCCAAACTACCTGTTACCATATTCCAAAGATTAGCCAATTATTCAAAAAGAAAGAGCAGATTTCAAACATTTATTTCTTCCAAACTACAAAAGATAGAAACATGATTCTAATGTTAATGGATAGAGAAAAGTTTACAATTATGGTATGCATTCAATAACTGCAGTTTGTGTGGCTTCATGTGCAGACGATGTTTTAGAACTCGCCATACCGTTGGTTGAGGAATTTTAAGTTCTTTGCTTGCTTGCAATGTGGATTTCTTTGGGCTCCTTTCGTAAAGTGTACAAATACGCTCAACATTCTCGTTCGATGTGCGTGGACGTCCCATGCTTTACCCTTTGCAGATGCAACCATTTTCTACGAATTTTCAATGCCACTCGTAAATTTACTTATGACGTGGTGGTTGTTTATTAAATTGATGGTGAAATGCTCGCTGAACTGCAACAATGGACTCTAGTTTTGTCAATTGTAGAACACAAAAAGACTTCTGCTGTGGTGTCGTTGCCATTTCATTAGACTACCAACTGACAAATAATACCAGCACAAACAACAGAGCCAATGCGCCAATGATTGGAACTTTTACCTGTACTAAATTGTACACTTTTTTCTATTCATTAACGTTAGAATCATGTTTCTATCTTTTTTAGTGTGGAAGAAATACATGTTTTCAATCTGCTCTTTTTTAATAATTCTGTATTTAATTTATGGGAGTCATTTGTTTAATCTAACCAAATGCTTTTTTTCTAATTAGGTCCATGTATAAAAAGGATTAGGATTATTTAGAATATCAAAAGCGTTCCCAGGCTATTTGCTTAAGGAGAGGGAAGTCCATTAGCCAGGGCCTGACTCCAAGACAAACTACCAGTGTGCAAAAGTTTTACCCTTCGATCGCTGAATGACACCCTGTATCATAAAAGCAGGTTTTTAACCCCTCATAATGAAATTTATATTCAAATATAATTACTAAAAATGCAATAAAATGATAATCAGCCCTTGAAATGCTAATAAGTTAGTATAAAATATTAAACAAACATTATTCTGCTATTTTTCTATGTCAAGCATATGTCACTGATTTCTTATTACAGAGGATTTTGTGAATTAAAAGTTGGGTATATCAGTAAAAAATCTAAACCATTAGCCAAAACATGAGCAAAGTTTTTTTTGTTGCAAAAAACGAATAAAAGTTAATTAAATTTGTATCTAAAAATCTTTGAATAAGATTTATATTTATAGATTTTTCTGACATGTTACTCATATTCATGTTTAATAGTAATGTATGTAAAGTAAACTTTAAATAAGTAAAACATAGAAATCTTTGCATCACTGTATTTGCGACAAATGCATAACTGAAAGACATTCGCTGACCACATAAAACTGCTTCGGTGACCGTCAGTTTCAAACCACTGTTTATAAATAACTTTCAGATTGCACAAAAATAATATTTTATGGTTTAACTTTTCATAGAATAAATCCAGACAAATTCAATTAATCTTATCCTATTCTATTGGGATACATATTCTAATTGGTATCTTTCCAAAATTTAAATAATTGCATAACGTCATGAAAAGCCATACAAGCGCTTGTTACAAATCTTGTTTCCCTGCTGTTATGCAATTCAGGATTACATTTCTTTGTTTACCTACATGAAAACTATTTTCGCACTTAAACAACAACAAAAAAAAAAGTTTAAAAATATCTTTAAGAAAAATTATGTGCATAAAAGAAGCAGGAATGTCCAATATAAACCAGACTGGATGATGATTGAATAGTCAAATACATTTCGAGGATGTAATATTGTTGTGGAAATACATGCATATTTAATTTTTTAAAACTTTCCTCTTCAACTATGTGATATATATTACATTTTTGTGAACATTACTGCATTTATATAAAGAACATGTTTCAAACATATATAACCATTATTATGGATAATTGTTCAAATTACTGGTAAGAATTAAACAGAAGTATAAAAGTTAATAATGAAGTTATATATATTATAATCTAAAATACTAAGATGAAAAAAAAAGTATGTAGACTTACGTAATCATAACAATAACTAATCGTTTACAATTTGTTCTTTGTGTATGGTTTACCTTCTCAACGCAAATGCTACACTTTGCCTTACGCGATTATCGCCCAGCAGAGCTTTTTCCACCCAGATATTGGGCTGAAGATGAAATTTTTGGAAAGCACCTTTTGAAGCCATTTCCCTCTTGGCGTCAAAAAATTCCTCCCGAGGATATGGCGATTTTTTGCGATTCAAGATGGCAGAAAAAATTGCGCCAAGTGCCGCTTATCTGAGATTTCCCTAGAAATTTACCTTAGAATATTAATTGTAAAATAAATATTCAAAAGATATTTTTTCTGATGAACATTTTTTCATATATTCCAGAAAACATTTATATTTCATATTAAAATTCTGTTTTTATTAATTCTATAAGTTTTCCTTGTAAATAGACAAAAGAAAAGACTAGTTTTTTCATCCATTAAAAACATATTACTATTATTTGTTTTATTATACATTTCATTTTAACAAAATATCAAATTTTTATAAATTTTGTATGGTAATATTAACAAAAGAGTATATTAAAACCTCCATTTGCAAAAAAGGGAAATTTTGAAAAGTGGTTCAATAGGGTGCATGGGCCTAATAATTTAAAAAAAACACTTTGAAGTCTGTCAAGGCTTTATAAAGAGCAACTGTTTTTGAGCAAAATTATACATTACTACCTTATTTATTGAAAAATTAAAATGGGGGGACCCTATGGGACCTAAGGGGCTGAAAACGAAAAAAAGCCTCAATTTGTATCAGATATAACATCATTAGTTTTAATGCTTCAAATATAATTTGAAACATCAAAACTTAAAAGAAATCATTTTTTAGTTTTGAAGTTTCAAATAAAATATGTTATACTTCCAAGGAATTTTGCCAAAAGTGAAATATCTGATGCACAACAGATTTGGTAATTTCATTCATTAGATAATGATTTTAATTTTGAAGCTACTTTCCCCTTGTTTTGTACTGATTTTCTTCTGACAAAATTATTTTTAATAGTCCAAATCAATAGGTTATCTTAGTCATGTGTGTTGTCCCTTTTTCATGTTTTTTTTTTTTTTTTTTTTTTTTTTTTTTTTATATATATATTTTTAAAATAGCATATTTTTAAATTAAAAAAATAGAATCTATGTTTTACTTTCATAACATCCGAGCCTTGCACTTTGACAGTATTATTGTAATAATATGTAGGTGTGTTTAATTAATTTTCTTCACATACACATTACTTTACACACATACATTCTCATTTATACACACATATTTCTTGCATTATACATATTACTTTACATACGTATATTCCCAGATGACACTATCATTGGGTTTCGGCCTGTGTTTAGTACAAAATTATCAGTTGGATAGCTTGAAGGTATATGCCCATTGATGAGTTTTATAAAGTTTTTTTTATTTATTTATTTATTATTATTATTATTATTATTGAAGGTACAAACCAGAATCTAATTTTTAACTGTAATGAAAAAGACATCCAAAGCCAGCTATCCAAAAATTTACTTTCAAAATAGCTGCCCATTCTACAAACGAAAATTGTTCAAAGCACTGAGCATTTATCTTTAATTGCCCTATAACTGTCTTAAAGTCATTCAGACAACTCTCCAGATTCCAGATTTATATCTCGTGGGATTTAGATTCATTACATTATTGCAAAGCAACTATACTGATATCTGCCTAAAAGGGAAAGGTGTTCATACAGGATTTTCTAAAGGAAACTAGTTCACATTTCTGTTACAAAAGGGGGAAAACACATATGCAGTCATAGTGTTTGAAACCAGATCAAACTAAGAGTCTTCTGCAATCTTAACTGCTTGCCTGCTTACGAGCTCTTAAATCTTACGGAACATCCTACATTAAAACTGCATAAAAAAACATGAAAATATATTATTCGGATGTATAGATAAAATTTGCATTACCAAAGAAATAACAAAAACTGCTGCTAAAATTGCTACAGTTGACAAATCATTTTCAAGAATACAAAAAAGCAGTTTTTGAACAAAACAGTATGCAACTAAATTTTAATTGCTTTTCTAACTGTATTCATTATTTCCTCAATACCTCATCACTTATGTTACTTTACGTTCAGTCTAATATAAATAATTCATATATGTGAAATTACCTTGATCGTTTGCAGTTAAAGTATGACGCTTTACAATAAATAAAATTACGATAGCTTTGTTGAAAAATTCGGTACCGATTCCTTATTTCAAGACAAGTCGAGTGTTATTGAAATAGCACTTGCTCCGCACGTCACAAAAAACCAATCATTTTTTAAAAGATATTATAATTTTGCAATTGAAATTAACAAGCTGCCTTCTTCCTAAAACATATGCTACGATAAACTACTTAAAAGTGGTTAATACCATAATACATCAAGAACACAGACAAAAAAAATCAGTTATAAAATTACCAGAAGCGCTATGAAAAGAAACGTAAATATCAATTATTATGGGTTTTTCTTTTCACTCTCTAAATAAATTGTCATTCAATTTTCATTTTTTTATCTATAAAACAAATATTAGAAGCTGAAAATTTTTGTACCTGCCGCTTATTCATACGCTTCAAATCATCCATAAAGTCCAACATTTTGCTTTTTATTTCTATAAAACAATTTTTATAAAATAACTCAGTTTCTGCCAAATTAATTCACTTGAAACTCTTTCTTGCTTTCACCTGCTCGCCGCACACGTCAACTTTCCAAACACTACGTTGAGATGCACACATCCTTCTCATTTGAAGTATTTATTCAAATAGAATGCTCTTGAAAAAGACAGAATACTTACATCAAATTTATATTTATTCGAAGGAGATAAATACATACAATTTTCAGGATTGCTGCTACATCTCTCAAAAACTTGAATATATAATAGTAATTAATTATTAAAATTATTAAAGCAAATTATTATACTATAGAAACAAAATTTTCCAAGTTTCATGTGTTGCTGAAGCCGCGATTATTGAGCAGTTTCGCACAACGTTTGCCGGCTTCAATTTGATGCCTAGATTGGCGCTTCAGATTGACGAATGCATGACTATGGGTCCAGAAGACAACAAGGTGCAGGGGATGTGTGACCAGGTGTTACGTGAGTAGCAAAGAATTTTGATAAGCCAAGGCGTAGCCAAAGCAGAGGATTTAGTAAAGTTCACCAAAAGGTGGTCTCCCTTAATCATAAATACAGTTCGTTGTTAACGTATTGAGCGTCCACAAAATTTGAAATGCCTCCAATAATACCTTATGGAGAAATAAATGCAATTTTAAAACACAAATATAAATGAGCAGGTAAGAACACTGTGAGATGCAGAATGATTGGAAAATAAATTGAACAGAATTGCCAAAACTGAACTGGGATAATGATGCTTTCCCAAGAGCAGTGAAGTATAAAATACAAAATAAATAAAAGTAAACATTAATTAATGTATTCTTAACAATCTTGTCTTTCTCTGTCTTGTTAGCTTTAATGTTCTATCCATTACAGATTGTCCCTATTATTTTATATTTGAGGAAGAGACAATTGTATCAAATTATTTCAAGATACATCGAATGTTTTCATTGCTAATTCAAAGGTGAATTTTGCTAAGTTCTGCAGTTGTGCTTTGCTTCTTATTAGGAAGTCATATAACCTTAAGATAATATAAGTATATTTTTTATTAACATAAATTCTCTGTTATTTTCTTTATTTGAACTAAGAAGTAACTGTACCTTGCTCCCTCATTTCTTTTCGCCATAGATTTTTAAAATGAAGCGCATTAGGTATCTCAGTGTTCATCATCTGAACGTTTATTAATTCCTGAATTCCTTTTTTGAACTGGCAGTTGTCTTTTGCATTTATGTCTTCTGTAGAAAAAGCAATAGCGCTTGCGCACAAGCGTAACTTGCAGGTCAAGGAGAACTGTGGGATATATGACGATTGTAATGAAGCGGAATTAAGCCATGTTTATGTAGTAATTCAATAAGGGTTGTACTTAAATAAATGCAGTTTTTACTCATATTACTGACTTTCTGTACGGCAACATGAATTTATTAGTTTTCAAGTAAAAAAAAAAATTTATTTTTATTTTCCTGCCTTGGGCAGATATGCCGCATTTTACGGGAACATTGAAGTTGAAGATATGTGAAGCGGTGGATTTACGTCCGACAGAATTTGCTACTAGACTTCAAAATGTTGTAGGGAAACAACAGCCCATGTTAATTGACCCTTACGTAGCAGTTGATGTGGATGAAATTCATGTAGATCGCTCATCTACTAAACAGAAGACTTTTAAACCTGTCTGGAATGAATTCTTCACAACTGAGGTTCATAATGGACAGAATTTGGGTTTAACTGTTTTTCATGATGCTGCGATACCGCCTGATGATTTTGTAGCTAATTGTAACATTTCATTTGACGAGCTTCTGAATTCAGCAAAGGAGTCCGGAAAAAATGAATCCGATGTTTGGGTATGTTTTAATTCCTTTTCGTGTTTGTCATTGGATCTGTCCATGACTACCTGATCTGTGCATAGACATACATGAAACACAGTTCCGTAAGTTAGTGTATTTACGCACTTTTTGCCACAACATTACAAAAAATTTCTCATTTTTATTTTTATTTCCTTCCTTTGCCCTGCTAAACGCTTTCCTCAATTTATAAAACTAAAAATTGGGAGTAGGGAGTATTTAGTTAACAACTGAAATTTATGCTAAACTTTTAGCATGAAGGATGTATGAATAATGTATATATTTATGCCAGGTTTAATATTTTATGGATTTTGATGATTTTATAGTAGATTGATGATCTGATTTTCGGAATATGCAGTCACTTGTCAAAACTGTTTTGCAGATTATCTTTATGCAGTCTAAATCTGCCCTATCATATACCAGTATTAAGGTTTATAAAATATTTAAAACTGTATGACGGTATTGTGCAACCTGTGGTCATTTTCAACTGAATGGTTAGGCTATATGGAGATTTTACGGAATTTTCTGTTAGTAAGCTGAGTATTTAAAACTGTAAGACGGTATTGTGCAACCTGTGGTCATTTTCAACTGAATGGTTAGGCTATATGGAGATTTTACGGAATTTTCTGTCAGTTAAATGCTTTTCCAATCTATTCTGTTTATTGTCGTTAAAAGTTAGCCTTTATCATTTTTTAACAAAAGAAGAAAAAAATACTTATAGTTTTTGCCTTTATTAGTACTTTTAGCCTATATTTTGGTAAAGAGCATGGTAAAATCCTAGTTTACGGTGCAGCCTTGGTGCAATTTTGAAAATTATTACCAACACCAAAATGACCCGTTTAACTACTCATCGTGTATGTCCTGTTTACTACTTATCATTAATTCGCCAAAAGTAGCCAAATCCCATGTGCACCGGATACTAGGATTAAACCAAGAGCATTTGCAAAATCTTGTTTTAAGTCAAATATTGGTAGCATATTTCTAACTGTTCTTTAATGACTGCTTCTTGTATATTCCTGTGAATTGTCAAACTGTATGAAGCTGTTTATTTCAGTTCTTTCATTTTATTCTTAATAGGTACAATGATTATCTTATAATAAATAATAGTAGTCTTTTCCATTTACCACGAACTGGTTTGTTGCTATATTACTTTATTAGTGAAGGTTCAGTTTTTTTAAGTCTTTATTGATTCTAAAATTCCTGTAATGCGGTTGAAGGAACGTTCAGAATTGCAATACATTGGACAAAATTTAAATATACAAAATAATTTTTTGTTATATTTAGTAGCATACTTGTATCCACATTAAATTACTTTCTCGTGAATTTCTAAAGGGTGTACTTTGTTCATGATTATCTTATTTAAAGACCTTGTTATTAACATATTATAGTAGTTGTGTTGCATTCTGAGTCATTAGGGTGTGTTTTGAGTCATTAAGATGCGTGTTTCACATTTTGCATTCCAATAACAAGCTACATTCATAGCATGCTTGATTTTTATTAATGATCTGTAAAACAAGTGACTGTTCTATAAAACATTAGGCATAATTTTCTGTGAAGCAAAAAAAAAAAAAGTGTGTATATATATATATAGTAACCATCTGATGTTATTTTTTTTAATCTTGCTGATAGTTATAATTATTCATTATATATATATATTATATACTGTTTGTTTAAAGGTAAAATATTGATTTGAATTTTTCACTGAAGTAATTTACTATTTAAGCCTAAAATGTCTGCAAAAAACCACATTTTTAACACACAATTTACACCAAAAATTCGAAACAAAAACAAAAAATTTAGATAGCAAGAACAAAGTTTCTAACCAAAAATATTTCGCAAGAATCCATGTAAATAGCGATCTGTTTTAACTTCCATCAGAGAATGGGGGAAAAAAAAAAATCTGAATTGCACAATCTATGCAGCGTAGGAATCTAGGAACTATGCACACCTCGCTAAAATAAACTAACATAACAACAATAAATTTTAAACAGTACCATGTACACAGCATTCTGTTTTAACTTAAAAAAACATGTGAATTGCACAATCTAGACATTGGGCACAAATGAACAACTCGCTTTAATAAATTAACATAACAACAATAAATTTCAAAGAATACCATGTACACAGCATTCTATTTCAACTTTAAAAAACATCTACGAATTGCACAATCTAGATGCTATGCACTAATCAACAAAATAAACTTCAAGCAATTCAAAAAAACAACAATAACAACAAAAATTCATACTAAAAAAACAATGAACATAACATTCTACAAAAGAAGAATAAAATAAAATGCACTTACTATGAATTAATGCTCTTTTGAACAGCAGAAATACCAATTTCATACCGCCTTTAACATGCCGCCACTGGCGTATTCATATGACAGCCAGGCACACTATCCAGAAAATTCATACTATGGTTCACAAATCCCTACTTCTATCATGCACAGCCACTAAAAATAATCTCCCAGACCCTCTTTCCACACCTCCAAATACCCATTGCCCCTCAACAGGACAGCCACGATGATATTTCCTTTTGCTGAACTTCAATTCAACAACTTCCACCATTTTATCTTTCCCCCCTATCTTGGCGTACCAATGAGCTCCAGTGAAAGATTTTTCAACGGCCACAGGGTTGCGTTACAACATGCAATAGCGCCAAAAACCAGTGTAGAACACATATTACCACATTTGGTGAAATTAGAGCATATATCAGAGTTGTACCCTATATTTTTATTAACTGAAAAAGGATTATGTGCTAGATAAATACTTATCTTCTACATTTTTAAACTATATAATTACAATATATATCTATAATTTCAGGAAAAATATAAATAACCTTCCCTTCAGTAGAAATTGCGTTCTTGTTTTCTGAATATGGCTCCAAATACTCTCTCAGTTCATTACATATTAAAATAACTATAAATTTTGACAATCTGAAATATGCAATAAAAACATCTTCTGGCAGAGCAAAAGCATCAACATATTTTCTATAAATTCGCCGCCGATCTGGAGATCTATGACCGTATTCTTTATTTAAATAGGAAAAACTTAAGGGCGAAAACACATACAAAGCCACTGTCTACTTAGAACGTCAGCTGGACAAGCCTGATTGATGACAGGGCAGCCCTTTTCCTTGCACTTCCGATGACTTCCGTACTCAGAGAATATGGGAAGTCGGGCAGACCTGTTTTTCACTAGTAGCAATATCTGGCGGCTCACAAACTGGTGTCAACTCTCGGAGCATAGAATAGGCATCCAGGACCCCCATAATATTTATGAAAATTTTGTAGGACCCTATAAGTATTGCGCAAATCCGACACATGCAAGAGTGAAACTGTCGATTTTTTCACTTGTACTGTAATATACTATTACAGTTTTAGGTCATTAACTTTCTAATTTTAAGACATAGAACAATGTGAAAATTTTAAATAAGTAACACATGAAATGACAGTGTCTCATGCAAAGCAAGGAAATTGAGCATTTATATTAGAAAAAGAATGTCGATTTGAAACGAAGTTTTCGTAAAGTTTCAGACGATAACACGGTGAAGATAAATTGTCTTACTCTTGCAAATATCTATTTTTCAGATACAAGTGTAAAAATAGTTGGCAATTTGTAATAATTATCTATAATAAGTTAAAAAAATATCAAAACTGCTAAAATTTTTGGCGACCCATAATTAACCTTTTAACTGTCATGCCCGAGATTATCTCGGGATAGCACTGATGTTCGAAAATGTCACGCCCGAGTATAACTCGGGGTAATTTTTTTTTTGAGTGCCTCGTATTGTTATACTCGAATATATATCGGGAGACGTTTATTTCGGCTTCATCTCTCTGTCAAATCCGAATACATCTCGGGAAAAGTTAATGTGTGCTCAATTCAATAGATGACAGCACTTTACTGAAGATTTATTTTATTTTGTTCTAAACATTTGATTTTTGCAATAAAAAAATATGACAATTTGTGTACCCAAATCATCAAAATAATTTGACAGTTAAAGGGTTAAAGAAACCTTGTTCTATATGATTGTTCTCTTTGGCATGCATGAATATAGCATGACGAAAGCAATTGCGAATTGTGCTTTCTTTAACAGCATTCCATGTGGCATGTAGATAGATCATTTATAGCTGACAGCAGAGTAATATATATGTATACACGACATAAAGGTAAAAAGTTTAATCTTTGGATTATGGTAACTTGGCGAAAATTTGGCGACCAACTCTGCTACAGCAACCCTCTATTTTTTTTTTTCGCCATCATTTTGTCTTCATGAAGTAAAAACATGTTTCTTTTCTTTTTATTCACTGAACACTTTTTCCAACAATCTGCTATCCGAATTACACTTATGCTAGAAATTTTATGAAACAAAACTGCTTAATCATGACAAATATTAACTGCAAAATTGGGAAAAAGTGCAGAATCGCAAACTCCTGCCGCGTTTTTCAGAATCGCACATACACATAAACCATGTACACGTCGACTTATTTTTACTTAAAAAAACTTCCCAGAATTGCACAAAAATGGCATTGCACACACTCTTAACTTTATCCATCTACACTGCTATTTTCTCATAAATTACAAAAATTTCACGAAAATGCATGAAAATTTTGTGAATCTTTAAATCCGGTAAAAAGAACATATATGAAATTACCTGATCGCGAAAAAGTATATACCCTTTCAAAAGATGAACATTTCCACGTATAAAATAAATAAAATATCCAAAAACTTTCACCTCTAAATTATCTATTATATTATAAATGTCACCAACAAATTCTTACCACAAACATTACAAATACTTAGTGTCAAATATTTACATTATTTCCATGCATGTTTACTTCGACTGAAACGTATACCAAATTCCTACAAACATAAAATTCACAAAATAATTATCATTTAATTAATAATTAAATTCAAAAACACTACTTAAAATATAAAAATCATTGCTAATAACAATTTTCCAATAATACCATATTATTTTATTTACTCCTTACATTT